TTAGATAGATAGATAGATAGATAGATAGATGAGAAGAGGCTGAGATAAATAATTCTAAAGAATTAATGGATTTATGTAATCTATAATAACGCTTAAAGTAACCGAGATAGATAGATAGATAGATAGATAGATAGATAGATAGATAGATAGATAGATAAGCAGAGAAAGCAAACGGTAGTATAGGTAGGATGAGACTGTGAAAGAAAGAAAGAAAGAAAGAAATTTAGATACGAACAGTGATAGATAGGCAGTGATAGTGTAGATAAGACGAGACATAGATAGATAGATAGATAGATAGATAGATAGATAGATAGATAGATAGATAGATAGATAGATAGATAGGGAAATACAGTTAAGTAGAGAAATAGTTAAGGTAGCTTGCTATGAAAAGAGATATGATGGGATTGAAACTATTTCGTGGATAGATATGATGTTTCAGACTGACAGACAGAGAAGAAGTGAGTTTAATGAAGAAAGCGGTAGGGAGTAGGTGAGACACACCAATCGGTGTAAAGCTACGTAGATTAAATCAAAGATGAAAATGATGGGTTGATATTTACGGAGAAAGAAAGAGATACGAAGTGAGAGAGGGTGAATGGTAACAATGAAGGAGAATGAGAGTGAGAAAAGAAGAAAAGAAATGCGAGACAGTGAAAACGAGGCTGAGAGATTTCGCATATTGGAAAATAGAGAAAAGGAGAGATAAACCGAAACCAATGAGAGAAGTCACTTGGAAAGAGTACAGAATAAAAATAAGGGAGAGAATAGTAAGAGAAATGGGGAGGAGGAAAGAGAAGGAAGGAGATGTGATGTTAGAAGAAATTAAAAAAACAAAAAAAACAACAAAAGGTGAAGATGTTTGCATGGGTCGAGTAAAGAAAGTAAGTTAGGTGTCACGCATAGTATGAAATCGTATCCAATACCGAAGACAAAAATCGAAGCAAATTAAATCAAGTGATTCGAATAATTACAAAGAAAAACAAGGAACGTAAAAAAAGAAACAAAGAAAAATATGGTTTCGTGCGAACTTAAAGGTACTGGGTTGAGGGTAAGGCGAATAAAGAACTGATAATGAATGAATAACATTAAGCATAACGTTTAGAGTTCATCACTGCAGTTAAAAACACTGGCAGTGGTCAGTTTATGCAACCATTGGCTGGATGTGCCACCGGCCTGGTGACACCCACAAATCGTTCTCATCCGCACCCTTCGATTTCAGCATCTGCCATAATTCACAGACCAGGCGAGTTCAAGCCGCGTTTTCTATCGGCTTAGACTTGAAATACTGTTGGCCTTTTTTTGGTTGCTTTTTCTGCTTCTTCAAAACAATCAAGTCGACAAGACGATTGAAAACAGTCTCTCTTGGAAATGGTATGTAAGCAGAGATTATTGTCTTAATATTCCGTTTATTTTTTTAACTAATGTTTTATGAATTATTTAATACAAATATTAATCATCTATTAACTAAAAAAAAATTGATCGGATGATCGATATGGTTGTGAGTTTCTTTGAATTTAAGCACAGTACTAGCCTGGCGACAAGGTCTCGCCAATTTAGTGTTGAGCTGGCTAGATGTAATCGTATGTTCTATGCTAACAGTTTTTTTTTTTTTTTTTTTCGCACTTCTCACTTCCGGCTCGATGCTTTCCAGCCAACCTTTATCTGTAAAAATTTAAATGCAATGTCAATCATTATCTACTGTTGTTCTGATTATTCTTCCTTTGATTTCGCTCTTTTGCAATGTTTCTGTTTTCTAATTCTACCACAACCCTAGTGTCTCAGTGGCTTTATTGCCTTGAATTGGGAGAACTCGATTTAAAAAAAGTTACTTCTTTTTTATGTGCCATTAGTAACTTAGCTTACTAAAGCTATTTAATCTTAGAAATTACTTCTTCTTTTCTTAATTATATCTATCACTTTGTTCCTTCCACCTATTGAAAAAAATATTTGCTTCCATTTGGAATAAAAGGGCTTTAATGACTGAAAAATATGAAGCTGTAATGAAGGAAATATAATATAAAAATACCTCCAACTACTCTTTTTCTTAAATTTAAAAAAGCCTCCAGGTATTCTTTTTTCTTAAATTGGACTATTTGAACATATAAGCTACTCTTTTTCTTAAATTTAAAAATACCTCCAGGTATTCTTTTTTCTTAAATTGGACTATTTGAACGTATAACGACGAAGTACTAATTTGACTACTAAACGAGAGAGTAGATTTGACTATAACGACGAAGTAGTAATCTGAGGCTTAATCTTCCCTCTGCCGAAAAATTCCGATGTCGAATCGGCCACGTCGAATCAGTGACGGTAAATGGGCAACGCCGAAACGCCTCATTCCCTTTGGAAAACTAACCAAATCTTATTATCCGGCTGTTTATGTCATCCTTATCATTACAGAGATTTTAAAGAATTAAAACTTTTGTTTACTCTCCTGATTACATATATTAATACTAATCTCATCTAAGTGTTAAGCAAATAAATGACAAAGTGAAAACAATTCTCTTGAACGTGTTCTTTCCTTTTCTCATTCATTTGCCAAACATTATTCTGATATGTAGAAAGTTGTTTCGTATTCTTCCATTAAATTAATTATGAATTATTTTACGGTAAAAATTCATTAGAAATTATTTTATTTTATGTAAGTCGTAATACCATGAGTTAAATATATGAAAACTTTCATTGATGCTAATGATTGCATACAAGAAGATACGGCAAATACTGAATGCATATAGAACTAGACGCTGAAATTATTTACTATATTATTTTTAAAAGGAAACTATATTACGTGTTTTTCGCTTTATATGCCATTCATAAAATTAACCAGGTATTGCCATTCATAAAATTAATCGCGAATTGCCATTCATAAAATTCACGTATTTCCATCTGTTTATGTAATCTACTGATAACAGTTTTTAAGGAAGTAAGTTGAAATTTGCATTTACTCTCATGATTACAGAAGAACACGTCATGCCACTTACATATTAGCAAACCACCCACACTCCCTCGTATCCCATGGTGAGAAGTAAGTTCCACTTGAACAGCTTCTTCCCCCCCCCCAACCGCTGTCCTGTGGAACAGACTCCCAACAGGACGTTACCGCAGTCACTACAATCTTAACCTGTTCAAGGCTAGGGTTAACAGTTTTCTTCCACTCCTATACACACTAATGGCCTCCAGAGGTAACCCTTTACATCGAGTGGTCCCCGGACCTTGTAAAGGGTGAATCTCGTTGTAAAAGAACAAAAATATAGTGATATAAGAGCATGGATTCATTAAAAATTAGTTTGCTTTAAAAATGCATTGCAAATTGTTTGCTGTAGAAATGCATTACATTTATTTTTACACTCATCAAAAATTCCATTAACTATAATGATTACATATATATTGACACTCAAAATCCCTACACCCCATAATTTCACCAGTAAAATCATTACTTTAGTCTGAGGAAGTGCTTTTTTTCTGATGAAGTCCTTCTAGCAGACGAAATTCGTTACACAATTTTTCCCACTTGACGAACATTGTTCTGATATATAGAAATTTATACGCCATATCCTCTTGTTAAATTCAATGCAAATTATTTTACGGTAGAATTTTACTAGAAATCGTTTATGTGAGTCTTAATATCATGAGATAAATATGTGGAAACTTCCATTGCTGCTAACGCTTGCATGCAGAAAGACAATGCAAATGTCATCTGAAATTTAAAAAGAAAAAGAAAAGAAACCTGTATTGCGCAGCATCTTTATATGTGCCATTCGTACAATTAAGCTCGTATTGCCATCTATTCGAAATTTGCATTTACCTACATCGTTACATATATAGTTGCATAACAAATAATAAAAGAATGGATTCATTGTAAATTATGTTACTTTAAAAATACATTGCAGATGTGTTGCTGTAGAAATGCATTACAATTATTTTTTACAATCGTTAAAAATTCTATACACTCTAATGATTATCTATCTATCTATCTATCTATCTATCTATCTATCTATCTATCTATCTCTCTCTCTCTCTCTCTCTATATATATATATATATATATATATTTATATGTGAAAGTGTATATAAATATAAATAAATATATATATGTATAAGTATTTATATGCATGGTACTACAATCTACATAAACCCAAATTTAAAAAAAGATTAATCAGTTTGACGATCGCTAAAGCGTGAAACCCAGGGTCACAAACTCGCATCTATCCAAATAAATATATATATATATATATATATATATATATATATATATATATATATATATATATATATATATATATATATATATATATATTGACACTAAACGCATAAAGACATTAAAGAGAAATTATTTGTCTTTTCAATTACTCCAATGCTCATATTTAGCAAATACACAGCAAACACTGATAAGCGGTGCCAGGGCGTCGAATAACCTTTGATACAGCTCACCCTTTCTACCACATGTCGATTTTAAATTTTCCCAACCTGGGGGCCATAGACCCTCAAAGAAAACGAGTAGGGAAGGACAGTGCTTTTTTAAATTACCAAAAATCAGGGAATTATCCAATTTAAATGAAAATTTCAGTATATATTCATTAATTATTTATTTTTATAATGAATATTTTTTTATTTAAAAAATCTGAGATGTTATTCATTTGTAATAACCACCGGTATTTTCATGACTAAATTTTACTCGAAAAAAATGTTTAAGTCGCAATTTTTTACATTTCCATAAAAATTAATCGCCGACGCATCTTTGCTCAAAAAAAAAGTTCTACAAAGATTCAAACACAACACAAACGGGATTGTCTTAAAAATTTGTTTTAAAAGCATTATTTCAGTTTTCGGGAAAATTTTTCATATGTTGAAATCTTTAAACATTTTTTTAGGTGATCATTTTCTCGGTTTCGTCTTTCTAGAAATATATAAAATAATGACTAAAACTTTTATTTTAATTACTAGTCATAGTCTTCTGGTTAGTATTACTATTATTAAAAATAAATCAGAGATTCCACTTAGTGTCTGATCTCGGAATAAAAAATGATTTTACCGAGATATATTTCTTTCGTAATTTACTCAAAAGAACTGTTTAGAAAGAAACTTACAATTTAAACAGAAATAAGCGCTATTGAAATTAGCACTTCTTCCCCTACCGCACTACTAACACCACCCAGTAAACATGGGGCTCCAACTAGGTTGAGAGGTACGGAGTAGTAAACACCGACCCTGTTGATTATTATAGTTGATGATTAACAATATAGCTTGTAAAAAAAAATAAATAAAAAGTACAAAAAGTAAAAAAAAAAAAATTTAAATGCTGCCTTTTGGGATTCCAAACTCATCGGGAATTCCTGCATAGTACGCACCGCACTGACCATGCAGGTAAACGATGTATATTATTACTTGAGGATTGACAATGTAATGCCAATTTTAAAATAATTTTAAAAAATAGCGGATGGCCATAAAACAGTGCTGAAAAAACATGATCACCCACCAAAAAAAAAAAAAACGCCACCCGTTAGAGGATTTCGGGGTTAAGACGTGTCGACCCTGAGAATAAGCAGTTGACAAAATCCGCGCCGTCGCCTCTCTCTCTCTTTTCAACAAACACTTTCATGGTAATTGCTCCGATGAGCTGCTTTCACTGGTTCATAAATTCAAGCCCCCTACGAGTGGCTGGCATCCCGCTCCCACCCTTACACTGTAGAAACTTTTAAATGTAGCCGTCTCTTCTACTCCAATAGCTTCATACCTCACACCTATCGCCTGTGGAACACCATTCCCAACTACTGTTTCCCTGAGAGCTATAATCTCCAACTATTCAAATGTAATGTCAATCGACACCTCCAGTTACTTTGATCTACCCACTATCCCTCTTCTATCACTCCTATCTGCTCTTGCTCCAAATCTTCTGCAACCCCCTGCATCCTAGTCGTTTCACGCCTTGCTCGGGCCGTAATGCTTAAAAAAAAATAAAGTATTTTATTAAAAAATATTTTAATACCAACTGTTGATGTGTGCTGTGATATGAAAAAACAATGGCCGAAAGCATAAATTTATGCTACTGATTGGATAGAAAAAGATAGAGTAAATATTAAAAGGATAAAGAGATA